ACTATTTTCAAGGAATTATTTCGTTACTTTTTAGTGTACTGTTTTTTTGAGAATATTTTGTTTTTGGTGTATTTTGTTTTGTTTTGTTTTTAGTGTATTTTTATAATTCCACGAATGGAGTCGAAATCCTATAGATTAGTGTAATATTCACGGTAATGTAATATTTACTTACTCTTATAAGACTCCTTATTAAGATGTTCAATATGATACCAACTATCTCAAACAAAACAAGACAGATGTTCAATATGTCGAATATTGATCGTTAAGTCATCTCATGACCCTTTCATAGCATAAAGAGGAGTCGTAAAATATGTTAGAGCCGATATTCGATTCAGGCGGCATCCGACAGATATTGAAAATGAAGGTTCCCGAATGACAAGATGGCTTTATGATGGGGCTATTGTTTCGCTTGTTATCCGCTTCTTACAATACTGAAGATCATGTTACAATTTCAACCCTTAAAATTATATCACACTTATATTGCTATTGTATAAACTATCTATATATGCGAAAGTTTAGATGGATGTTTGTTAGAGTTTGCAGCCTAAACAGCTGAACGGATCTCGATGTAATTCGGCATAGATGTAGAGCATAGTCAGGAAGATCATATAGGCTATATTTTATAATTCTAAGCGGATTGACTCGCGGATGAACGCTAGTATATCACAATCTTTAGTACATATCCTATTAATCTCATAATTATGCTTACAACAAATTGCAGTCGCAATAAGAATAAATTTATTACTAGCTGTTGCTCGCGACTTTGCCCTCGTTAAATTAAAATGTAATACAAATATGCGTCTATGTTACTGACTGATAACGTAGCTTTTTAATGGTGAAAGAATTTTCAATAACAGTCCAGTAGTTTTTGAGTTATTCCAATACATAAAATCTTTCCTCTTTATAATATTAGTATACAAAAGTCAATTTAATCAGTTGAACTCAAATGTCTTAGCTATGTGTAGACAATCTCAAGATAAGCGGTAAAGTTAATATTGGTTACCGTCAACAACCGTTAGCTACAGGAAAACGCTTTTAGATCATTGTAAATGGATTGTGGATTTTATTCCATTCGTTGAAAATGTTATGAGAAATTTGCAGAAGTTAATGCAATGTTTCATTTTCCTGATTATCTATTACTAGCTGTTCCCGTGCGACTTCATCCGCATGAAATTATGAAAATTTTTATTTTATTGTTTACATTTGACAAATTATCAATTACAAATGTCAAAATGACATGACAAACCTTGGCAATCTTGTTTCCTTGATGTTGGCAAAAACTTATAGTCTCTTTCCCACATTAGGATTTTTATCCAAAATATATACCCCCTAAGGTTAATGGCGTGAAAATATATAGCCTAAAGCGTGACGTAAGTGTAGGGCTTTTTATTAAAAATAGTATTATTCAAAAATATGCTGTAATTGCTGACATCTTAGGCAACAAAGAAATGTGTGTTTACGCTTTATTATAATAGTATAGATAGATTCTAAATTATATCTTACATGGTTATCATGTAAACATTTACGTAATAAAGAGATACAAGAGTTTCTTCATGAATAGACCGGTAACAAAATCAGAATACTGTTTAATCTACAATCTTACTAATATTATAAATGCGGAAGTTTAGATGGATGTTTGTTAGAGTTTGAAATGTAAAGTGCTGAACAAATGTGGATAAAATTGGACATAGATGTAGAGGGTAGTCTGAAAGAACACATATGACAGTTCCTTTTTCATTCCACGCAGACGGAGTCGCGGGCTAAAGCTAGTAATAAAATTAGTTGTTTACATAATAAACGTAATATACATTGTTACAATTGTGTATTGTTATTTCAAAACTGCTATAGGTTTTTATAAGGAGTTTGTATATCAGGGATTTATTTACACGAGAAATCCATTATTCCAAAGCCAAGATCCATTTGTTTAAAACACATTTTCTTTCTATATCCTTACAACATTGTTTTTAATATGTGTTGACGTAGATTTCCACTGCTGAAACACATGTTAACTAGGTTTTTGTAGGAGAAAATAATCGTGAATTCGGTTTTCTACCAGCTTATCGCAAAGAAGAAACCGTTTTATATTGAGTAAACGATTTTCATTTGTTTCTATTTAACAAATCTGTATCTAAAACGCTAAAGCTTAACACAAACGTTGACAAAAGCCGATTTTCTCGATGAAAAATATTAAAAGTAAGATAAAATAAACAAAGGTGTTCGAAATAAGGTTCTTATCAATGTTGAATATTAATATGAAACACGTTAAGTGTTCGTATATTTTAAAACGTCTGCGTGAAATAAAAAAAATATAAATGCAGACTGTTACTCACTGATAACGTAGCTTTTTAATGGTGCAAGAATTTGAAATCGATCAAGTATCTTTTAAGTTATTTCAATATAAAAATACAAATCTTTGTTTTTTATAGTATTAGTGTAGATAAAGCCAATATGATTTTTTACAATTGTTTTGACAGAGGAACTCTACACTAATGATAAGGCAGATTTCACTGTTATAACAGATCTTGCAAATTGACTTATTCACAAGGCTTCATTTAATTAATTGCATACCGAAGGTTTAATTTTGGTCGTTCTTCCCCTTTCCACTCTTGTGGGGGATGGGAATGGGAGGTGGAATTGTCGAATAGAATGCTTAGGACGGTGAAATAACCTATTTTTGCTTCTTCTTCTATGCTATAATATTATAAAGAGGAAACATTTGTATTTTTATATCTATTGATATAACTCAAAAACTAATTGGCCGATTTTAAAATTTCTCTCACCCTTAGAAAGGTTATTTATCTGTGAGTAACATAGGCTATGTTTCTTGTTATTTTTTTTTATTTCACGAGAGTACAATCGTTGTAGATTAAAGGAAGGTAATGCATCTGTAAATATAACTAGAGGTCGTTTTATTTTTTTTAACGAATTTAGATAGCTAATTGCTCGTTTGCTATCTTTGCACTATAAAAATATAAATAGTGTTACATTTATAAACGTTGTTATTTGTGCGACAAAAATATGTGAAAGCCGCGCAAACAGAATTGTTTGTACTTGTTTGTTTACTGTTCATATGTTACAAACTAAAGCCCGTATTTATACTACGTAAGTAAAGTCGACTTTCTTGTCCTAAACAAATAAAGGTCCTCTTAGTAATAAACTTTTTGAATGTATTGAAATTTTATACAATACTAATAAAATGATACAATTATTGATAGTATGTCATTGAATCTTTTTGAAACTGCCCTTTTTTTCTTTTTTTTTCGAGGGGGAAACCAAAAACCCCCTCGGTGGCCGCCCTCAGGTGCGATTTGAGGATCCCGGGTTCCCATTTTTGAAATTACCTAACTGTCCTTGTCCAACTTAAAATTATCAATAGATTTTAAATTTATTTTTAAACATTAATATTAGCAAGAGTTATCTGTGAGAAGTGGGGCTACCATTTTAAATGTTAGAGTGCAAAAATTTAAGCAACATTATTCGTAAAGTAATTACTATGAACGTTAATTTTTAACTATCGACAGTTTTTAACACAGCGAATGCTTGATAAATTACTTTCGCCACCTGAAAATAAATAAAAAAAGTGATTATTAAATACTAGTTGCTGCTCACGACCTTGTTTGCACAAAATAAAATAAAAATAATAAAATGGTGAAATCATTTTTGAAATCAGCCCAATAGTTTTTGAGTTATTTCAATACATACAAAAATACAAATCTTTCCTTACAATGCGAAAGTTTAGATAGATGGATGTTTGTTATAGTTTGTAGCCTAAACGGCGTAACAGATTTCAATGAAATTTGGTATAGATGTAGAGGATAGTCTAGAAGAACACATAGGCTACTCACTTTTTTAAATTCCACGTGGACGGAGTCGCGGGCGAAAGCTAGTATAGAATTATACTAGGATAGATTGATGATTGAATTGGCGCGTCAGGCTGAAGAATATTCTTGCTTCTAACGTGCCAAGTCAAATATCACGTATTATTAACTAACTCTAATTTTTATATTTATTTTTATTATACGTACTGTTGTCATAGTAATCAGAGACAACTGATTCCCAACAGCCGTTTTAATACCAAATCCATTTTGTGTACAAATTAATATTATATAGTAACGCTTTTTATCTTTCATATTTAAACCTGTCCAATCAAAGTTAAGTATTGCATTGTTTATATCTGTCACCTGAAATAACATTTATATTATTAACTAAATTAACTCTTAGAAACGGCTAGCTATAATATTATCGTCTTTCAAGCTGTTCAGTTCGATAAATGTGAACACTGACGTCTATTAAATGGATAGGCTATAAAATGTCATGTGCCTATGTAAATACGAACAAATTTAATTGCCAAACACCTATCCATTTAATATAGTCATGGTCGATGCCGGTGAGTTTCGCTGTTTTAATTATTTTTAATAACATATTTGAACAGCACATCTTACCTTTGTTTTTAACTGTTCTCCGAACCAATTGTATGTAAATATTTCAGCAAACATCGGCATCATATGCGGTGCGAATCTCCAGTTTATTTCCTTAAAATATAGATACAAATTGTAATTGAAATTAATAGAACTGTGAAAGAATTTCTCTGTGACTAATACAAACCTTGCTCATTATTAACAAGCTGAGACAAGTGCACAAAACTGCATTGCTAAGAGGCACTAATGAAAGCCATTTGTACATTTTTCTTAATTCTATTAAGTAGCTGAAATTAACAGAAATGTAAAAAAAAATCAAAAGGTACCACGAATTTACAAATGAAATAATTACCCGTTAAGTTTAACATGAATTTCGTGGAATCGACGCAACGCTTCAGATAAACGTGTAGAATACGATGCAACATTTTCGTCTCCTCTTTTCTTTACGTTCAATATTTTTATTAAACTCTCATTTGCTTTACATAGAAAAAAGGTTAGTAAAACAAACCACATATCCAATATTAATGTTGTCGAAACTTCCAATAAAAAGAACGAATGTAAAATCCAAGATATTTCATAATAAGGAGTCGTCATAGGCATAAGCGGTGCTGTCGACCTTGATAACATAGTTCTCTGTCCATTAACATAGTTCCAAAGTGTTGTAAATTGGTAGATAGAAACTGGGATAAGAATTATAACAAATAAAAATGTCTTAACCACCCTTGAAGCAATCTTAAGAACATTCTTCAATTTCTTCTCTGAATCTAGTTTAATTATATCCAGAATTAATGTTTTAGCAGTCAAATGTAATAAACGGAATATATTTCTATTGTTAATGTAAAGTAGGAGTTTTAAAGCGAAATGAGACATTATAATTAAAGTATAAGAGGCTTCTGCGACTAATTCATTATCGTGTGTGCGTATTATTTGAAGAGTACCAAAGAATACGTAAATAAATAAAAATAAATTTATTATTTGATGTTTGTAAAATTTATTCCACATCCATTTAGGATCTAGTAACTGTTGTCCGAATATTCTCTGGATAAATAAAGCTGAGATCACTATTTCATCGATTTCTGACCATTTTCCAACTGTTTTTGTGTACTTTCTTATAAATTTTCTCAAACTAAACTCCATTGTCAAAGAAGTTCCTAGTTTAAAATCAAGTAATATACTGAATGAAGTGCAAAAATGACGACAGTATTTTACAAAATAAAAGTACAGTCGTTAAGAATGAGCAATACGGTAATATTAAAAAAAATTGTACATATTTTTTTGCGCGTTTATCACATATACATTTGCAACACCATAGGAACTACAGAAATGTTTCGAGAAGACTTCGAGAAAGAGGTAGGCTTGCTTCTTGGACTTTATACTTAGAAAGATTTCTAATCAAATCACATTATACTCTTCAAAATATGTAACTTGCCTCAAAATTGTATTAACACAATTCCTGTAGATTTTATGATGATTTCGGTTTTCTATGAAATGCAGTTTTACACTAATAATTTCCTATATTTCAATAGGAGCAATAACGGAATTATAAAGACATAAATTATTATTTTTTTAACTTTTATTAAATAATAAGTACTTTTCTTCCTCACAGTACTTTCATAAAGTATCACAGATAATCTATTTCTTAACACGAAGAAGGCGTTTTCAGAGTAATTATTTTTAACGCCCTATTCATATAACTTATTTCTATTATTCTATTATTTAGAAGTAATGGATGGATTTGTAATCTAGAATTATTTTTATTTGTAAGGTATTAAATTTTGTTGGTGAAATCCTCAATATTATAAATGCAAAAGTATTGATGAATGTTTATTACTACGTCTCTCCAAAATGACTAAACGGATCTCGATAAAATTGGACGTAGAATATAGCCTGGAAGAAGACATAGCCTACTTGCTACGTTTATGAGGCAAAAGCTAGTCATATAGCCAGTCATGTTTATTTTCATGGCTTTGGTCATATTTTGACACTAAAACATTTCAAAGAATTACTATAGTTACTTGAAGGTAGAGATAGAGTTATTTTAGAAGAAGTTATAAAGAAACGGTAATTGAAGTTAAGCAATGTTGTACTCAAGCCTTTATGGTAGAACACTTTAATAGCCTTTGTTCCGGAAATTCGCTCCTAGATTGCTCTGGTCGTTAAATCGAGCCGGAAAACCAAATATGTGACGTAGAAACTCTAAAGGCCAGTTCCACGAACGGATTTTACATATTCTAAAGACTAAAAGCGAACCTTGTATATTGCATTTAATTTGATGTGGCTGCATAGTTTATAACAATCGTTTGTGACATTACACTCAGAGAGGTTAATTGAACATTAACAGGTTCCATACTAGAGATTTCTAGTACTAAATCCACACTGTTTAGTTTAAATGGTTTATTAGGCAATATTAGAGAGTTTATAATAATGTAAGACAAGTATACGCGTTGTAAGACCACTTGGTCGCTATTACTTTTCGGTTCTGACGTATGCGAGTGTTGCCAGCGTCACCCGCGTGAACATACATTATCAGTAATGTTATTAATTAAAAAATTACCAAGACATCCGACTAATTACTCCAATGAGACAACGAGGAACAAAACTATTTGAAAGTCATTTTATATCGAAATAGGTAAATTTGGGCTGTAGGTCAAAAAGGAATGGACATAGAAACATGCACTTCCTTTAACAAGCATGATTTCCTTTTCTTGAAATGTTGGCAACGTATCTATTTTTACACATGTGTATCAACGTTGCTTCAATGCCAAAGCTTTTGTACCACTTAGTCCTAAAAAAGTACCAGCGAAACCTTTATCCTGTTAAAAAATCCTCCTGAAAGTAAAATAGGTATACAAAAGGTTATCAAAAAAGAAAGAGTGTAATCTTATACGCAATAAACATTGTATGATGATAAACGCGTCAATCCACCGGTTCAGCTCACCCTGTAATGTTATAGCCTCGTTACGATCCTACTGCCTATATTTTACCATCCGGGAACATAAAAAGAAAATTGCCTAAGGAGTCCATTTTAAATTTTTTATGCATTCATATAAATTTGATTATTTTACACAACTAATGTTTACCCGCAATTTCGTCCGGTATTTAAAAAAATAGTAAATAGCCTGCATTAAAGACTGTTTTACATTTTCGCCAAATTTCATTGCTATCCGTTAAGCCGTTTTGGAGATATGAATGAACAAACATCCATCCATTCATCCATTTCGCATTTATAATATTAGTACGATTGGGAATATCGTATGCCGATAATTTTTCCTCCAGACATCCCAAACATATATGTATAGCATGATTAGTATTTTGCATTTTTGTATGTATTGAAATAACTCAAAAACTACTTGACCGATTTCAAAAATTTTTTCACCATTAGAAAGGTAATTTATCTGTGAGTAAAATAGGCTATATTTATATTTTTTTTATTTAACGAGAACAAAGTCACGAGCAACAGTTTGTGTTTTATATGTTTCAGAATCAAAATCTCCAGAACATTCTATAACTCCATTAAAAACACGTCATGTTGGAGATTTATAAAACTTCCAAAGCAGTCAGTACATTTAGTATGTACGTAATTAACGTCGTGTGTAAAACAATGGTGAAATCGTAACATTCTTATTGTCTCATTCGCGACATGTTTCATTGTTCTGAGCATATTCATGTGTGCGTTATGTGTGCGTGTGTGTCTATTCAAACATTTGAACCACCACATTGCTTTTATGTAATCATACTTCACACTGATATTATAAATGTGAAAGTTTAGATGGTTGGACGGATGGATAGATGGATGTTTGTTAGAGTTTGTAGCCTAAAGTGCTGAACCGATCTCGATGAAATTTGACACATATGTAGAGGATAGTCTGGAAGAACACATAAGCTATTTACTTTTGTTTTTTTTTTACTCCACGCGGACGGAGTCGCGGGCGAAAGCTAGTGATACATACTTTTATGTAGAACGATAGAACAGTTACGTTTATACTGTGAATATTTTGAGTACGTCAATTTGTTAGTGATTTTCAAGTCATCTAACGTAGGTTTACACTGCGAAAACGATGTTGTTACTCTATTTTTATGAAAAACTAGCTTTTGTCCGCAACTCCTTCCGCGTGAAATAAAAAAAAAGTAAATAGCTTATGTGTTCTTCCAGACTAAGTTCTACATCTATACCGAATTTTATCCAAATCCGTTTAGCCGTTTAGGCTACAAACTCTAACAAACATCCTGTTATCCATTTAAACTTTCGCATTTGTAATATTAGTATAGTAGGATTTAAGAATTTTTTTAGAACAATATTTCTGTGTCGTTAGTGGAAGCCATGCATGTTTTTGTATATAACTCATTAATAAAATAATTTATAGGTACATTAACATGTGATAACTTTGGCATAGAACATTACGACGTGTTAAAGTTTATATCTTATTTAATAGTATATTAAATTTTCGCGACAAGCCAGCCATAACGTAAAGCGGTACGGAATGGTCGGCTATTAATTGTATGGCAGGAAATTTAGTGGCCAGTAAATAAGTCTTTTATCTGCACCGTTTCCATGCCCGCTTCAAAACAAAATAGCATTTAAAAACTTTGACTTTATTTTTAAAATTTAATTCACACCTGACGCAGTTAACGGCAATTCCTTCTTGAGACTATGCTAAGAGTGTTTAAGAGCCTGTCCCACCATATAAATTGTCTGATAACAATCCAACGTTTAAAATATGTGATGGAAGTATCGGATTTTGTATCCCTATCTGAAAGTGACGTCATTTTCAAGCTTTCTGATTCTCTATCATCCAATGGTGAGACAGGCCCTAAATATGGCGATTCCTAAGTTTCAATTCGAGATAGATTTACGAGCGAATATTACCATAAACGATATTTAAATATGCAACAGGGTCTTAAGTAATAAGTCTTAAATGCTTTAACTCCGAATTCCATCAACAGTTTGACGTCTGACAGATTGTAAGCCAGCTTCACTGAAACGGACAGTTTCCCTATTTTCCCTACACGTTAGATTTATCAGAACGATCGGAATGTTCAGATAAATCTGTCAGATTCAACTGAGCGTGTGTCTTAGTGGCATATACGAAGCGAAGTGTTTATGGTTATTTTCAGTTTTAGGTCCTTAATTTGGTTGAATGTATATTATCTGAAAATCTAACGAGTGCTACGATAAAATAACAAATTTAAAACTCAATAAAGTAAAAGGCGTAGTAATCCGAACCTTCTATTTTCGATAGTCTGAGACTTGTGGTAGCAAGGAATAACAATACAAAATGCAATATTTCTATGCTTAGAATTGTGACCGAGTTTTCTAAAAACGATAGTTTACTTGCGACCGCGGCCGTTGGAAATCGTAAAATGTAACCGCAATTTAATACATAACGCTCGGCCACGCTTGCTACTATAAAAATTCCAGAACAGAATAGTGAGATACAAAATGGACTTTGATGTTATTTAGTTCAATGGAATGTTGCTTTGAATAACGTTTTTAAATAAAATATTTATAGTATACGCTCTTACATGTATTACAATTTAAACTTTTAATTTTTTGAGAGTTATGTCTGTATTGAGCGTCGGTGGCTCAGTGGTTTAAGCACTTGACTTGTAATCTACAGGTCTTGGGTTCGAAAGCCGCCATATACCAATGTGATTTTCGATTTTTAGAATTTTCACATGTACATAATTTACCCGACGTTCTTACGGTGAAGGAAAACATCGTGATGCCTGCACATATCGGCGAAGAAATTCAAAGATATGTGTGTCAACCAACCCGCACTGGGCCAGCGTGGTTGACTATGGCCTAGTCACCCTAACTTAGGGTAGGCTCCGAGCCCCTCTGTGGGGACATATAGTAAGCTGTTGATGATGATGACTCTATAAATTGCAAATTTCGCTGTAATTTTAAAATAATATATTGTTAAAGATTATTAATCGATATAGTTTAAATGATTGTAACGTTTTTCTCTGTTTTCAAACATGGTATTTAAACACAGCGTAACATAAACTAAAGTATTATTAAAAAAAATGATAACAGTGGAATATTCTCTTTATATTTGTCGTACTGGATTAACTGAATATTGAAATATTGTACCATTTACAGTGAAACGTCAATTTAAATATTTGAATTGTCTAAC